GATCGTGCCACTGCACTCCAACCTGGGCGACAGAGCAAGACTCAGCCTCAAAAAAAAAAAAAAAAAAAAAAAAAAAAAAAGAGAGAGGCCAGGCAAGGTGACTTACGCCTGTAATCCCAGCACATTGGCAGGCTGAGGCAGGAGGATCACCTGAGGTTGGGAGTTAGAGACCGGCCAGACCAACATGGAGAAATCCCATCTCTACTAAAAATACAAAATTACCCAGGGACAGTGGTGTGTACCTGTAGCCCCAGCTACTTGGGAGGCTGAGGTGGAAGGATTGCTTGAGTCCGGGAGGCAGAGGCTGCAGTGAGCTGTGATCATACCACTGCACTCCAACCTGGGCAAGAGAGTGAGATTTTCACTAAAAATAAATAAATAAATAAAACCAATGTGCAAAGAAGGGTGTATTGACACATAGTAATAACCACGCACTGCGAGAAACTCACTGTGGCCACCAGTCCCTTCAAAGACTGTCTCTCTTATCTATTACTTACCATGCAAAGTAATTCAATTGAGTTTTTACACAGGGAGAGCAGGGGCTTTAAAACAATACCTGTACACATATAGCCCAAATATTTTATTTTGTTTTATTTTTCTGAGATAGAGTCTCACTCTGTCACCCAGGCTGGAGTGCAGTGGCACAGTCTCGGCTCTCTGTAATCTCTGCCTCCCAGGTTCAAGCGATTCTCCTGCCTCAGCCTCCGGAATAGCTGGAGCTACAGGCACAAGCCACTATTCCCGGCTAATTCTTGTATTTTTAGTAGAGACAGGGTTTCGCCATGTTGGTCAGGCTGGTCTCGAACTCCTGACCTCAAATAATCCACCCGCCTCAGCCTCCCAAAATGCCTGTAATCCCAGCACTGTGGAAGGCTGAGGCGGTCACTGGCACCGCAGCTCACACCTGTAATCCCAGCACTGTGGGAGGCTGAGGCGGTCACTGGCACCGTAGCTCATGCCCATAATCCCAGCACTGTGGGAGGCTGAGGTGAGAGGATCACTTGAGGCCAGGAGTTCGAGACCAGCCTGGGCAACATGACGAGACCTCATCTCTATGAAGAACTATATATTTATATTATACATTATATGAAAATATCAGACCGGCCCCATGGCTCACGACTCTAATCCCAGCACTTTGGGAGGCTGAGGTGGGCAGATCACCTGAGGTTGGGAGTTTGAGACCAGCCTGGCTAACATGGAGAAACTCTGTCTCTACTAAAAACACGTTAGCCAGGCATGGTGGCCCATGCCTGTAATCCAAGCTACTCAGATGGCTAAGGCAAGATAATTGCGTGAACCCAGGAGGCAGAGGTTGCAGTGAGCTGAGTTCGTGCCATTGCACTCCAGAGCCTGGGCAACACGAGTGAAACTGTCTGGAAAAAAAAAATTAAAATTTTAAAAATGGCTGGGAACAGTGGCTCATGCCTGTAATTGCAGCACTTTGGGAGGCTGAGGAGGGCGGATCACCTGAGATCAGGAGTTCAAGCCCAGCCTGACCAACATGGAGAAACCCCGTCTCTGCTAAAAATACAAAATTAGCCAGGCATGCTGGCGTGTGCCTGTAATTCCAACTACTAGCAAGGCTGAGGCGGGAGAATCACTTGAACCCAGAAAGTGGAAGTTTTGGTGAACCGAGATCACGCCATTGCACTCCAGCCTGGGCAACAAGAGTGAAATGCTGTCTCAAAAAAAAATATTATCTATGTACTAAATATAGATAATATAATGTATGTGACATAAATATGTTTTTAGAGATAAAACGGCAAAGTCTTAGTGACTGAGGTACAGCAAAAGGGGCAGTTGCATTGGTTTTCCCAGAAAGTCCAAAACAGCCATTTTCAAGCTTTCAAAGGATTTTAACTGCTCTAGATAATTATTGGCCAGGGGCGATGGCCCACACCTGTAATCCCAGCACTTTGGGAGGATGAGGCGGGTCAATCACCTGAGGTCAGGAGTTCAAGGTCAGCCTGGCCAACATGACGAAACCCCATCTCTACTAAAAATACAAAAATTAGCCACGCATTGTGGCAGGCACCTGTAATCTCAGCACTTTGAGGGGCCAAGGCAGGTGGATCACGAGGTCAGGAGACCGAGACCATCCCGGCTAACACAATACCTCATCTCTACTAAAAATACAAAAAATCAACCGGGTGTGCTGGCGGGTGTTTGCAGTCCTAGCTCTGTCCAGAATTGGTGGGTTCTTGGTCCTGGCCACATTCTAAACTGTATATCTCCTTCGTGACAGAATGACACAGAAAGACAAATAAGACGAGTCACACAAATCCTTTTTCCTTTTTTTTTTTTTTTTTTTTGAATGAGTCTCACTCTGTCACCCAGGCTGCAGTGCAGTGGCATGATCTCAGCTTCTCAGCTCACTGTAACCTCTGCCTCTCGGGTTCAAGCAATTATCAGCTTCCTGAGTAGCTGAGATTACAGGCACCCACCACCACACCGGCTAATTTTTGTGTTTTTAGTAGAGACGGAGTTTCACCATCTTGGCCAGGCTGGTCTTGAACTCCTGACCCCGTAATCCACCTGCCTCAGCCTCCCAAAGTGCTGGGATTACAGGCGTGAGCCACCGCACCTGGCCCCTTTTTCCTATTAATCAAAACCTTCCATAGTAGACAAACAGTTACTTCTACCATTCACCCACCCACCGGGTTAGTGCAAAGAGAGGCAGAAGCCCGGCTGGTAAGAAATTATCTCCCTTTTACAGGCACGCTGGGTTTCCAGGTTCCCTTTCTCTGTAGCTTTCAGCTGCAGAAAAACAGGGTGGTTTTTGGTGACCCTGCTGGCTGCACCATAGCTGTGGGGGCCAAGGTGTGTTACTAAAGAAAGTCATCTTTTTTTAATTAATGGAACCACAGGCAAAAGCCTCTCAATTTTGCAACAGGCTACATGGGGGAAACTAAATTAACCTTTCCCATTCCAACCATCACAAAATACAAAATACATGCGCCAAAACCCAGACACTAGTCACCCTGCTCGGCGTTCAATATTGACCTGGCAAGGCTCAAACTTGCCCTGCTTTGGCCCCTGTTACCTTTGATTCACTCAAAGTGGGTGGGATGACCTCCGACCCAGAGTTTATTGGACACTCTCTGAGCACGACAGAAGAAAGGAAAGTCGCCCTGAGTTAGGCTGCTGAGCTTCCTTCTGGGCTCCCTGAATATGGTGGACCAGACAAACAGGGAGAGTCTGCGGAAACTACCATCAGTGCCCTCAGGGATCTCCTCTGTGTATACAAACTCACAATAAAGTAAAGACAGACAAAAGGCCCTCAGAGCCAGGATTCTAGACCAGATTACAAATCCAAAGATCATTTCTCTAAACGGCTCCCCTATTCTCTGTGCAACTGGGGAGAAACCTCCCCAAACCGAGGCTCCTCTTTCTACAATCTAGGGAGAGCCGAACGGTCCCCAGGATGGGTGGATCACGAGGTCAGGAGATTGAGACCATCCTGGCTTACGCAGTGAAACTGCATCTCTACTAAAAATACAAAAAAAAATTAGCCAGGCATGGTGGCAGGCACCTGTAGTCCCAGTCACTTGGGAGGCTGAGGCAGGAGAATGGCAAGAACCCGGGAGGCGGAGCTTTCAGTGAGCTGAGATCGCACCACAGCACTCCAGCCTGGGCAACAGAGTGAGACTCCAGCTCAAAAAAAAAGAACCAGTGCCATGTAAAAAGTGGTTCCAGCCACCACCCCTCCATGTGAAGGGATGGCCGGGCAGCTGTGCGGAGCAGCCGTGCAGAGGACAACCCCAAGAGTGAGGTGTGGAGGTGTCAGAGCTTGCAGTCGCCCCCTCCTGACACTGAGAAGCTAATACACTGTATCTAGAGAAAGGATACCTCGCAGTTTCAGGTAGAGTTGGGGTGATTTGTCACACAGCAACAGCTGGCAGAGGAGACAGATCCCTGGCCCCGTCCACGCTGGGGGTGTCAGGGCCAGAACTCAAGATGGTGGCCTCTGGGGCTTCTAGTCCTGGCACCTGAAGCTAGGGCCTGCAGTGCCCACGGCCTGTCTTCCTCTGAGCCCATTGCCACATTGAAGGGTGATTCAAGAAGAAGGGGCTGCTCTCAGGGAACCACTGGGCAGAACCTGGGGGACTAAGGCCGCTGATGTCCCTCAGTTCCAAGGGATGGGGCGGCAGGGAGGCAGCTGTGGAGGGCTCAGGAAGTCGGCCTCTCTGGGCTCCAGGCTCTTTCCCTGTGGGAGGATGTGGGGCACCAGGTGAGCAGCTCCACAGACCATGCCTTCAGGTTCCTGTGTGGCTGGACACCAAGTATGGTGCACCCCAGGAAGGGGCTGCTGGGGCGGGTGGACTGACATGTCCCTCCTGGCAGCCCAGGCCTGGGTCCTATGGCTGCATCTCCCTGACCCCAGCAGCCCCTCTCAGGGCCCAGTCCCGAGACACCCAACACACCATCTTTTTCAGGCAGCGCTCAGGGCCCCCTTCCGTACCTCCCTGGTTCTCACCCGAGGCTTCAGGTCTCATGTCAGTTTCCACCCCAGCAGGGTCCACCTACCCCAACTTTCAGCCTACAGAGAAATCTCAGGGTACAGCCTGCAGACAGGTGGGAGAAATCTCGGGGTACAGCCTGCAGACAGGTGGGAGAAATCTCGGGGTGCAGCCTGCAGACAGGTGGGAGAAATCTCGGGGTGCAGCCTGCAGACAGGTGGAGAAATCTCCGGATGCAAGCCGCTCTGTAGGAGACCAGGGGATGAGTGTGGGTTTGTTTCTAAGTCACAGGAGGGCTGCATCTCGGGGTCTAGAATGAGGCTTTATCTAGGTACTTCCCATTCCTTCTCTTGGGTTCCCCGTTTCCAGGGTCTCCCCATGGGCTGTGCCTTGAGACACCTTCTGGTCCCAAGCGCAGGCCTCTCTCAGCCACCAGCCTGGGAGAGGATGAGCTCTTGCCTGCCCACCCGGGCTCCCTGTCGACACCTCCACCCACTGGACACCACTTTCCAGAATAAAAGGAAATATCTGGCACCAAGCAAGGGTATCTGACAGCAATAGATTTATTAAGTATCCCCGAAAATATAAACACAAACCAGTAAAAAACAAAACCATAAAACGTCAGGCCTGGAGCTGCAATCAGACAGACAGGAGCAGCACACACATGGCCCAGGTGGGGAGGACGAGGCCGTAAATACTGCAGGAGGGTGGCAAGGGAGCCCTAGGGCAAGGGGGAAAGCAGGGTACAGTGTCGGCAGCCAGATGGCTCTGGGGGTCAGACACTGCTGACCTTGGCCCCGGCCGCCACCTGCCCCTCACTCCAGCTGCAAGCAGCTTCACTTGGGGCCCTGGGCCTCCGACTCCTCCTCGTCGTCTTCGTACATCTCGCCCTCCTCCTCGGCCGTGGCGTCCTGGTACTGCTGGTACTCGGACACCAGGTCATTCATGTTGCTCTCGGCCTCGGTGAACTCCATCTCGTCCATGCCCTCGCCCGTGTACCAGTGCAGGAAGGCCTTGCGCCGGAACATGGCCGTGAACTGCTCGGAGATGCGCTTGAACAGCTCCTGGATAGCCGTGCTGTTCCCGATGAAGGTGGAGGACATCTTGAGGCCACGGGGCGGGATGTCACACACGGCCACCTTCACGTTGTTGGGGATCCACTCCACGAAGTAGCTGCTGTTCTTGCTCTGGATGGCCAGCATCTGCTCGTCCACCTCCTTCATGGACATGCGGCCCCGGAACACAGTGGCCACCGTCAGGTAGCGGCCGTGGCGCGGGTCGCAGGCAGCCATCATGTTCTTGGCATCAAACATCTGCTGGGTGAGCTCGGGCACGGTCAGGGCCCGGTACTGCTGGCTGCCCCGGGCTGTGAGGGGGGCGAAGCCGGGCATGAAGAAGTGCAGACGGGGGAAGGGCACCATGTTGACGGCCAGCTTGCGCAGGTCAGCATTGAGCTGGCCAGGGAAGCGCAAGGAGGTGGTGACCCCGCTCATGGTGGCTGACACCAGGTGGTTGAGGTCCCCGTAGGTGGGTGTGGCCAGCTTGAGGGTGCGGAAGCAGATGTCGTAGAGCGCCTCGTTGTCGATGCAGTAGGTCTCATCCGTATTCTCCACCAGCTGGTGGATGGACAGCGTGGCATTGTAGGGCTCCACCACTGTGTCTGACACCTTGGGCGAGGGCACGACGCTGAAGGTGTTCATGATGCGGTCCGGATACTCCTCACGCACCTTGCTGATGAGCAGTGTGCCCATGCCGGAGCCCGTGCCACCCCCCAGCGAGTGGGTCAGCTGGAAGCCCTGCAGGCAGTCGCAGTTTTCACACTCCTTCCGCACGACATCCAGGACCGAGTCCACTAGCTCCGCACCCTCCGTGTAGTGACCCTTGGCCCAGTTGTTGCCAGCCCCACTCTGACCTGTGCAGGGAGAAGTGGGGTAGGGGACAGGGGTCAGGGACTCTGCAGTCCAGACCTCCAGCCCCTGCCTGAACATCCCAGGGCAGCCATGGCAGCCCTGTGCCCATTCTCATTTCTGTAAAGTAGACCCCACTGAGCACCCCTTCTCATACCCGCTGTGGCTTCCCCGAGTCAATGCTGCTGAGTGCTGAAGACAAGGGCTCTGGACAGGGTCTTGAGAACTTGAGGTCACACCAGAGCAAGGCTCTGCCTCCTGAGGGGATCCTGGGTGAGTGGATCAATCCTCCTGCTCCAGCCCACCTTCCTTCTGACTGACTGGGCCAGGAGCCTAAACAGCCACCCCAGAAACCCTGGCAGTTGGCCGCTGGATGTGAGCTGGCATCTACCAGTTGGGTGTGCTGAGGCTGGGAAGGCAGAAGTGAAGCGAGGCCCTCCGGTTTGTGTGGCACATCCACAGCCCTGCCCCAGGACACAGGCACAAGAACGTCCTGCCCTCTTGGCCGCAGCAAAGCCTCATTCTCCTGGACCCTGGAGTCCTCTGGAGGCCCCATTCCGTCTCACCAGCTCTCTAGCAATTCTGTAGGCTTCTGTCTGCTTCACACTTCATTCCACTTGAAATGCATGAGTGGTTTCTGTTCTCCCCACAGAACCCTTTCTCTGGGCCTCCAATGCCCAGCTGTAAAATGGAGAGATCAGTTCTCACCCTTCAAGATCGTGTGAGGAGCTGACCATTCCTTATTTCTGACAGCCGCCCCCGTGCACCGACCTGGGCTTGCATGTCATACGGTCTGCCATCAGAGCTTGGAGCAGGGGAAACTTACCAAAGATGAAATTGTCAGGCCTGAAAAGATGTCCAAAGGCCCCTGAGCGGACACTGTCCATGGTTCCAGGTTCCAGGTCAACCAGAATGGCCCGAGGCACGTACTTGTGAGCTGAGGGGAGAGAAGGGCTCGGTGATTTGGGTTATAGAGGGCCAGAGCTCTCCCTCATTCTTTCTAAATTCTCTGCCTGCCTGCCATCCTCCTGCTCACATCCTAAGAGCCTTTACTCTGAAGTCAGAGAGTCCTGGACCAAAGGCAAGCTTGAGCAACTTTCTTCACCTTAAGCCTCACTGTGTGTAAGAACAGAGCAGGACAGGACGGAGCAAGTCACACACCCACCAGGCGCAGGGGCTCGCCTACACTCCCAACACTTTGGGAGGCCAAGGCAGGTGGATCACTTGAGTCCAGGAGTTCAAGACCAGCCTGGGCAACATATTGAGACTGACTCTATTAAATTAAATAAAATTTTAAGTCACATGTCCATGTGGGCAGGTGGGTGTATCACCACTCTGGTATGGAAATCACTTTATACCAGTTGCTAAATGCCCCTGACTAAGCCCTCCAGGTGACCCCTTCTCTAGACCCTCTTACAGCCTCCAAAGTCTCGGGCCCGCCCCATCCCTCTCTGTGCCCCTGGACACGCAAAGACCCTCATGGCACTAATATGTTTGGCTCTCACTTTTGTGACTGCGATTTGTTTGCCTTTATTCTGTGCCTCTGGGTGCCCGACATCCACTTATGCCTGCTGGCATCTCGGCCAACCCATGGGAGGACAGAGATGCTGAGGAGACCTGGTCAGTCCAGGGCTGGGATGGAGAGGCTGGGGTGGGGAGGCTGGGGTGGGGAGGTTGGGGTGGGGAGGATGGGGTGGGGAGGTTGGGGTGGGGAGGTTGGGGTGGGGAGGCTGGGGTGGGGAGGTTGGGGTGGGGAGGCTGGGGTGGGGAGGCTGGGGTGGGGAGGATGGGGTGGGGAGGCTGGGGTGGGGAGGATGGGGTGGGGAGGTTGGGGTGGGGAGGCTGGGGTGGGGAGGTTGGGGTGGGGAGGCTGGGGCAGCCACTCACAGGAGGCCTCGTTGTAATAGACGCTGATCCGCTCCAGCTGCAAGTCCGAGTCGCCCACGTAGTTGCCGCTGGGGTCGATGCCATGCTCATCGCTGATGACTTCCCAGAACTGCAAACAAAGTGGGAGAGGAGGGGTTGGCAGGTGGCCCATAACCCCAGTCAGGCCCTTGCCCTTGTGAAGCCTCATAGCCCTTGGTGCAAAATGAGGGCTTTTGACCCAAGGCCTCCTTGAAGAGAGCCCCACACTCTGTCATCTGTCAGAAAATCGCCATAATAAACACGCACCTCCACACCTGCACGTCCAGTCCGGCCACAGCTCCAGGGTGGGTCAAGGTTCAACAGACCCACACCAGGCGCCCAGGCCCAGCTGTGCACCTGCTGGCAAGGGCCTGGGCCAGCTGATCCCTCCACGAAGGGCATTGGTAATAAACACCCTGAGGGATGGTTTTTACTACCCCCCTCTTTTCAGGAAAGGAAACTGAGACACAGAGAGGGTAGAGACACCCACAGTAGCTGGTAGGGCAGGGTTCAGAGGCCCGGAGCTCAGGATCGCTTTTGGCTGCTACACCTGCCCCTCCACGTCAGAGCAAACCATGCTCAGTGATGGTGCCGGGACATTACTGGCCTCAGTCAATGGGACTCATAGGGACCCTGAGAGCCAACCTCATCAGGACCCCCAACTGGGTCTGCAGAGGGGTCCTTGGGGTCCCAAATGGGTAGCGACTTGCCTGAGGTCACCCAGCCTGTCCGTGTGGAGCCGTCCCAGCTCCCAGGGGTCATCCTCTCTCTACCTGCCACCTCCACCTTTCTCCCCCTAGAACAGGTACCTATTGTGCTTCTCAGACTCTGCTCCCAAGACAGCTGCAGAGCCTAGACTCAGGGGCTGGGCCTGCTGGGTTCACAGGCCCTTCCCCCACCCCTCCCAGCTGTGTGACCTTACGCAGGTCACCAGGATTCTGTGACTCGGTGTCCTCATCTGTACAATGGGCATGATGACAGCAGGTCTTTTTGAGATTAAAGTGGGTTAATCTGCATAAGGCATATAAATGGTATATGGCAAACGTAGAACTATTAGCACATATGTGTGCACACGGAGACCCACACCCCTGGGTGAGAGCAAGGCCTGCAGAGAAGTTGCCACCTCATCGTGGGACACACTCTGATGGCCAAGGCTGCTGCGTCTGGGAGCAGTGTCTGCAGGCAGCAGGCCTCCTGGGACACATGCTAGATGGCTTCCTGGGGCCGCCTAATCTCTCCCAATGTCCCTTGCCCTCACCCCTCAGGAGTGACTTTTAGATGAGCTGATGGGCACGAAGCCCCTGAAGACACAAGGGGCTCTACACGTGAGTCATGCGCTGCAGAAAAGATTCCTCAAAAAAACAGCAGGTGAGAAAACAATTTGGTGGGGCCTGGCACAGTGGCTCACAACTGCAATCCCAGCACTTTGGGAGGCTGACGCGGGACTCCAGGAGTGCAAACAAAGATGTGCTTTGGAATGGAGACACAGGAGATGTTTTAAGATGCCTCTAGTAGGCTGGACACAGTGGCTCACACCTGCAATCCCAGCACTTTGGGAGGCCGAGGCGGGCAGATCACCAGAGGACAGGAGTTCGAGACCAGCCTGGCTAACATGGTGAAACCCCGTCTCTACTAAAAATACAAAAATTAGCCGGGTGCGGTGGCAAGCATCTGTAATCCCAGCTACTCCGGAGGCTGAGGCAGGAGAATCGCATGAACTCAGGAGGCGGAGGTTGCAGTGAGCTTACATCGTACCACTGCACTCCAGCCTGGGCGACAGAGGGAAACTCCATCTCAAATAAAAGAAGGAAATAAACGGTTTGTGGGTGCTTCTCTATGTGTGGGTGTCTCTGTTAGATGTATGGAAGGCTGTGCCTGGGGAGGGGCCCCAGATTGGGGGAACCTTCTTCTCACGGGGTACCCTATGGTCCTGTTGGATTTTATCACGTGCACAGTGTAACTTTTCAAAGACAATTTGGTAAAAATAAATGTTTTTAAAATATTAAGAATAAACACAGTGTAATTATTAAAATATGAACAGTGTGGACATGGAAAGCCTCTGCGATGTCAATTCACCCTGAGACTGTTGTCAGAGGTCATCTCGCCACAAAGGTCAGGGGTGGATTTATTTCCACCTTTTGGGCATTTTTGTCATTGCTAAGTTTTATTCTCTTTGCATTAAGCTTTTACATTATAAAAATGAATCAGGGCCGGGCGCGGTGGCTCACACCTATAATCCCAGCACTTTGGGAGGCTGAGGCGGGCAGATCACGAGGTCAGGAGATCGAGACCATCCTGGCTAACACAGTGAAACCCCATCTCTACTAAAAAAATACAAAAAAAAAAAAAAAAAAAAAATCCGGCCACTGCACTCCAGCCTGGGTGACAGAGTGAGACTCTGTCTCAAAAAAAAAAAAAAAAAAAAAAAATTAGCTGGGCGTGGTGGTGAACGCCTGTAGTCCCAGCTACTCGGGAGGCTGAGGTGGGAGAGTGGCATGAACCTGGGAGGCAGAGCTTGCAGCAAGCGGAGATCGCACCACTGCACTCCAGCCTGGGCAATAGAGCGAGATGCCGTCTCAAAAAAAAAAAAAAAAGAATCAGGCTGAGTGTGGTGGCTCATGCCTGTAATCCCAGCACTTTGGGAGGCTGAGGCAGGTAGATCATTTGAGGTCAGGAGTTCGAGACCAAACTGGTCAACATGGCAAAATCCTGTCTCTAATTAAAATACAAAAATTAGCCAGGCGTGGTAACACGCACCTGTAATCTCAGCTACTTGAGAGTCTGAGACAGGAGAATCACTTGAACCCTGGGGGCAGAGGTTGCAATAAGCCAAGATCAAGCCACAGCACACCAGCCTGTGGGACAAGAGTGAGACCCTGTCTTAAAAAAAAAAAAAAAAAAAAAAGGCTGGGCACGGTGGCTCACACCCCTGTAATCCCAGCACTTTGGGAGGCCAAGGTGGGTGGATCAAGAGGTCAGTAGTTCAAGACCAGCCTGACCAACATGGTGAAACGCCATCTCTACTAAAAAATACAAAAATTAGGCTGGGCGCAGTGGCTCACACCGTGGCCCCAGCACTTCGGGAGGTCGAGGCAGGCAGATCACGAGGTCAGGAAATTGAGACCATCCTGGCTGGCAAGGTGAAACTCCATCTCTACTAAAAATACAAAAAATTAGCCAGGCATGGTGGTGGGCACCTGTAGTCCCAGCTACTTGGGAGGCTGAGGCAGGAGAATGGCGTGAACCTGGGAGGCAGAGTTTGCAGTGAGCCGAGGTGGCACCACTGCACTCCAGCCTGAGCGATAGAAGAAAGACTCCATCTCAAAAAAAAAAAAAAAAAAAAAAAAAATTAGCTGGTGTGGTGGTGGGCGCCTGTAATCCCAGCTACTTGGGAGGCTAAGGCAGGAAAATTGCTTGAACCCAGGAGGTGGAGGTTGCAGTGAGCCAAGATCACTCCACCGCACTCCAGCCTGAGTGACAGAGTGAGACTCCATCTCAAAACAAAACAAAACAAAACAAAAAATCAGCTGGCCATGGTGGCTCATATTTATAATCCCAGCACTTTGGGAGGCCAAGAGAGGTGGATCACTTGAGTCCAGGAGTTCAAGACCAGTCTAGGCAACATGGTGAAACCCTGTCTCTACCGAAAAAAAAAAAAAATTAAGTTGGGTGTGGTGATGCATGCCTATAGCCCCAGCTACTCAGGAGGCTGAGGTGGGAGGATCACTTGAGCCAGGGAGGCGGAGGTTGCAGTGAGCCTAGATCATGCCAGTGCAGGTGACAGAGTCAGATCCTGTCTTAAAACAAACAAACAAACAAACAAACAAAAAAACAGAAAGGTCACAGAGGCATTTGAGGGCTCGTCCAAGCTTCCCACGTACTGCTTGCCTCCCTAATACTGTATTTCAGGATCCTCCATTAATTTAGTTGCTGGCAGTCCACTTGAGCCAGGGACCTTGCTCCCCAAAGCACTAGGACACCCAAAATTTGTGGTTCCAGGGAACCTACCACCACCAGCCCCTGTAAAGGAGGGGTGGACAAAGTAACACATCTATGGGAAGTCCTCTGCTGAGTGAGGCACGGGGCGGCAGGAGCAATGGACCAGAGTGGATTCAGGGCCCAGCATGAGCACAGCTGTGAGCCAGGCACTGTGTCTCGCAGGACCTGCTTACTCATCTGTGAGATGCATGTGTGAATGGTACCCACATCAAGGCCTTACCACAAAGTTTGACATGAAAACATTCAGCACATGTTGGCTTCATTTTGTTAAAAGGTTTCAGATACTATTTAAAGTTTTAAAACCATATGCACAGGTCACTTAAATAAAAGGGACCAGAAGGATAGAAAAAGAAATTTGTTCCCACTTGGATAGAGAGAGGTGACTAAATGTGCACTTCAGCCTTATCTGAAATATTTCACTTTTTTTAATGAGAATATATTAATTGCTTTTGTAGTTAAAATTGTAATTTGAGATAAAGCAATAAAATGTTACTTTTTTTTTTTTGAGACAGGGTCTTGCTCTGTTGCCCAGGCTGGAATGCAGGGGCATGATCTCAGCTCACTTTAACCTCTACCCACCTCCCCCAAGTGATCCTCCCACCTCAGCCTCCCAGGTAGCTGGGACCACAGGCCGGCGTGCCACCATGTCCAGCTAATTTTTTTGTTTTTTATTTTTTGTAGGGACAGGGTCTCGCCATGTTGCCCAGGCTGGTCTTGAACTCCTCAGCTCAAGAGATCCACCCACCTCGGCCTCCCAAAGTGCAGGGATTACAGGCGTGAGCCACCGCGCCCGGCCTATGTTACATATTTAAGAAACAATAAAGGCCGGGCGCGGTGGCTCAAGCCTGTAATCCCAGCACTTTGGGAGGCCCAGACGGGCAGATCACGAGGTCAGGAGATTGAGACCATCCTGGCTAACAAGGTGAAACCCCGTCTCTACTAAAAAATACAAAAAACTAGCTGGGCGAGGTGGCGGGTGCCTGTAGTCCCAGCTACTTGGGAGGCTGAGGCAGGAGAATGGCATAAACCCGGGCGGCGGAGCTTGCAGTGAGCTGAGATCCGGGCACCGCACTCCAGCCTGGGCGACAGAGCGA